TCTACCTGTATCGAAAGAAATGGTCCAGCGGGTTCAGGAAACATTTTTGAGAAGCTCCAAGAAGTCCAATATTAGGTCAAGTCTTGGAAACCCAGATTCCTCCAACGACGTGTCTTAAAGAGACGCTTGGGACTGGTGCCCTACAAGCTGCATTACACTCAGGTCTTAAAGACAGATGTGGCGAGCATATTGAAACTTGTAAAATTGTTCATGAAATCTACACACCTTTGAATTTCTCAGTGAAATTCTGATGAATAAATCTTATTTTGCTCAACAATAAGCCTGTTTAGATTCATTTGCTTAGACTATGTAGTAACTCAGATATTTACATCTCAAATCATATAAAATATTTTGAAACACCCTGTAAATTTATATATACATTTAAAACTGTCTGTTTTTGAAGTCCTTATATCTAACGAGCAGCCATACCCAGGTGGTCGATCAGAAAAAGCGTTCAGTTAGAATGGAGCAAAAGCAGCATCATGTTTAGATGTAACAGAGTTTATCTTCTTCAATTACTTTAAAGTACTTTCATTAAAAAACATTTTGAATTAATGCATTTATTGATATAAAAGAAGTAGTTTGTATTTATTCAATCGAAGTTAGCCGAGGACATGAAAGGGTAAAACAGGCAACATGAAGACTAACTTCAGACCAGAATTATTTGGGAGTTTTTGAAATTCAGTTTGTCAGTGTGCTACCAGGGAGGCGAAAGAGGATACATTTATAAAGCAATTGTTAAGTTTGATGAAAATTAGTTGAAAGATCAACGAAAAATAAGAAAGGAACCAATAAACCATGCGAGAAGTCATAAAACGCTATATATTATATATATATATATATATATATATATATATATATATATATATATATATATATATATTCTTTCTAGAAAGAAAATTCGGATTGCCAACACACAAACAGAATGTCTCATATCGAGAATATTCCACATTGAACATGAAGAAAAATTAATTATTTTTAATAATATTTAAAAATCTCCACTTTCACCTGAAGACGGTTGGTGAGACCAGACCAGAAACACGTGTCGTGAAATTATGTAAAACAAAGTATAATATTTTTTCTCAATAAATCCACATTACAACCAAAAACGTTTGCGGCACCCTCTTCTTTTTTATAATATATATATATATATATATATATATATAAGTTAGCTCTATCTCTGATATTGAGCGCTTTCTAATAGGTACTAAATATATAATATATAAATAATAATATATATAATATATAAATAATAATATATATAATATATCTATATATATATATATATATATATATATATATATATATATATATATATATATATATATATATATGTTTATATTTATGTACACACACACACACACACACACACACACACACACACATATATATATATATATATATATATATATATATATATATATATATATATATATATAAACAGGAGTTTGACAATATGAACTTATATATTGATTTGTAAAAGGAGAAGAGAATTTTTCTTTAAGGATCCTTTTTCAACCAACGCTTTGTGAGATGAATACGTTGGTAAATATTAAATGGATAAAATAAGAATTGGAACTGCGAGAAAAGAAAATTATATGTACAAACTGAGGTTAACAGCGAATGGTGACAGATTGTTTCATGCTTGACCGCACTCTTTAGGTTATATTCCCTGTGTCGTTGCTTGACTATATATATATATATATATATATATACTAATCAATGGAGTAGTATGGATAGCAAGGTTAGGCACCTCCGGTTTGTTGTATTTTTTCAATGATCATTGGGTAGGTAGTAATGATTATATTTCAAATTACACTAAACACTATTGAGTAGAAATAATTGTCGGTAGCTATGTACGGTATTCTTTGTTGACATTTAACGCATTATCTATTATTTTATTACTTAGTACATTTTCTAGTTATTCATTATTTGTTGTTGATTATTAAAGTTACTTAGTTACTGTTATACGTTCATCCGTAGTTTGAGAAATTTTTACTTAATTAGTGCATTTAAAACAAAATACTTCATTTATTTTATATTTGCATTTTTCTTGATGTTGTTTTAAAAGGTATGCGTTATGTAAATATCGAAAACTAAAAAGTTTTCGATATTTACGTAAGTCAGTAAAAGTTGTTTTTGTGTCTGAATTTTCAGATAAGTTCTGATCGTTTATTTAGTAATTTGTGTTGATCGGGGATCTATTTCCATCACCTGACAAAGTTTCAGTTTTTGGGTTCATTGTTGTAGGCTGGTCCTGTTTTTCTTATTTTCCATGATATTTTTGGTGCGTTTTGTTTTTTGCTTTTAAGTTCCAATATACCCTTAGAAAGTGTTCAGCTAGCGTATTTACTATTGGTAAATGATGTCATATGCATGTAGTTTCTTTTATTCAAAAATCCTTCAGTTACTGCTATCTATATTTTTCTTCGTTATCTTCAGATTCTACAGTGGTTTGGTATATTATATGAATTTGCATGCAATTGCTATTTATGGGACATTCGTTCTTTACTCTGCAGTTACAGGTGGGTTTGTTTTGTGCGGGTTGTATCTATTGAATATCTTGTGGAGAGTGCTTGGTCGGGGGAGTGTTTGTGGATAAGTGTAATGAATATTTTTCCTATATTTGTTTTTATTTTTCTCTTGTACGGTGGGTTAAAACATATGATGTTACTTTTTCTGTTGGCTTTCTTTTAATGTGTGGTATGTAAGTGAATATTGGCGAAAATCTACTATCTTTAACGGCTATTTCAAAACATTTTGGGTTTTGGTGACGATGGTTTCGTTAGAAGAATTGTCATATAAACTTCGGTTAATTGATTGCGGGATCTGCTTGATTACTTTTGGCTGATAGTGAGATGTGTGTATGCAAAGTGGTTTAACATTGGGTTTTCTATATGGCTAACAAGTACCTTTTCTTTGTTTGTTTGTGACGTCTGCGAAATCTAATTCTTTTAGGTTTGTTTTTATGTTGATGTTAAATATTCTAATTTTGAAATATTTTGTGATTAATTTTCTAGTTTTATCTTTTTTTTTATGTTTCAATTTCTAAGGATTTTGACGTATTCGTCCCTGTAGATACCTATACCTTTTTCTTGGTTATTTTGCATATTTCATGTCGCATATATATTCCTATAATCTCGAATCCCTGGCTCCATCAAAACTTCCCATTGTAACGTTGATCGTTCCATTTCTTTCACCAAGTGTCTTCACTGTTAATTGATAATGATTTTCGGCAATGCCTGATAATATTTAATTGGTTTATGCATATTTGCATTTGTTCCTGTGCAAAGGAGATGGCCTTATCTATCATGGGTTTAGAAATATTTTATATCTAGTTGTATAAATTCGCAGTTGTGTTTGTTTTTTGGGGGATTGCGGAACCAATCTATAGTTGTTTTTGTATTTTTCGAATAGTTTACGCCTAAATTTGTCCTTTGTTTTGAATTAAGTATTTAACATTATTTTACTTATTCTATCTAGTTCACCTTTTATTGAGTGGGCATGTTGGATTTGATTTGAAGTCTTTTTACCGGTCTTTTAGTACAATGAATGTTTGGGATTTAGTGATGATTTTTTTCCCGATCGACTTAATCTGCTGTTTGGGTAACTTTAGCTTCTATGTTAATGCCGTATTCTGTATTTTTTAGTATGTTTCTCTGTGTTTTAGTTTTATCATTATTGAGTAGTTGGTTGTGTTTTTGGGAACTTAATTCATATAAATTTCTACTTTTGTCTGCGATGATAAATACGTTAGACGAAATGTTTATTTTAATAATATCTCTTTAGAATAGAACAGCCGATTGCATCTACCTAGCTCAACAGTAAAACTGTAAAACCTAGTTGCCAATCTAGTATCTTGTTTAAATTCAGGCACTAAAGAAAAAAATCTTATCAGAACAGTTGCCATGAAAATATCTGTAGAAAAGACAGTGGGAAGCCACGTCACGAAAGTGACGGAAGTCGAGATGTCAGGTTAGGACCGATTATATTATTCTTTGAATTTTGTCAAAAATCTCAAGATGTAGAATCGGAGCACCAAACCAGACATAGCAGAAGTATTCATTGACTGGACAAATGATAGATTTATAAAGGTGTAAGATGGATCCTGGCGTGAAAAATTGTCAGACCCGACACAGAGAATCAACATTCCTAGCAGTAGATCTCGCAATTGATTCAATATAATCACTCCACTTGATGCCTGTGGAAAAGGTAAGCCCAAGAAGCAATGTGTTAATCGCATTGAGTTTAGCAAGAGCCATGCTGGCGTCAGGCAGAAAAAGTTTCTCTGTGATGATTAAATGAAAACAGTTTTGTTTTGGTGGAGTTAAAATTTACAAGCCATTACTTGCCCCAGTTAACCACTGACTAGAGTTTCTTTTCGTGAGTAGTTTCCAGATTGACTTTGTCGGATCTGCATAAATACCTAGTTAGAACAGGTCGTTGATGAAGATCAGAAACAGCGAAGGTCCAAATATAGAGCCCTGGGCGCCCTAAGCATTAATATGAAATGATCTAGAGGCGTGTCCGTTCAAAATGATGTTTATTACACGATTTATTAGGAATGATTGGATTAAGCCAAATATTCGTCCAGAGATACCTTTGAGGTTGAAAAGGTCAACATGCTTCCCCAGTCACTAAAATCTTTATCACTTCAGGTCAAGGGTCAACTGTTATATTCTCATAATCTCCCCTTACTTCCTCCATACAAGAGCCTCGTTGTGGAATCTTCTACATTGAGTGTCACTTGAACTTTGGTATTAGGTGAACATTAAATAAAAATCTATCTAATCAATGTCAATCTGTGCGTATTATTCTTAGTCTGTTCCTTCACATCTATCTATCTATCTATCTATTTTTTTAATCCTGTGCTAGTGGAGACTTCAGAGGTTATTGGCCCTCGTTCGATGGCGTTTCTTCGGAGGACTGGCGCGATTGTGCCTCGATTAAGGGATGAGCCTTGTGAAACGGAACGGCTCTTGCAGCGTGTCTCATTGGCTATGGTCCGAGGTAAGGCTTTCTCCATCATTGCGGCTGGCAGAGGATAGCAAAACAAAATTGTTTATAGTTACTTTGTTCAAACTTTTTTTCAATAAATTGCTGGATTTCCACATTAAGCGTTTTCTGCCTAAAGTAGCTAATAGCAACAGCGAGAATAGAAACATATACAATTACATTAATATTTTTTATCTATCTATCTATCTATCTATCTATCTATCTATCTATCTATCTATCTTAGTCTGTTCATATCTATTTCAATCTGCTTGCATATTTATCTATATAAATGTTGATTAAATAAAAGCAATTTTGTTATGGAGGCGTTAAAATATACAAGCCATTTCTTGCCCCAGTTAACCATTGACTGTAGGTCCATTTCTAGATCTGTTGCCAGATTTACTTTGTCGGATTTGCTACTAAGACAGGAATAAATAGTTGTGTCATCTGTATAAATACTGCATAGGTCCAACGATAGAACCCTGGGAAACCCAGGCAATAATTTGAAGCTTTGCCCGTTCAAAACCACCTTCATTACAGGATTTTTTTAAAGGAACGATTGGTTTAAGCCGAATATTCGTTCCGTGTTACAGTAGCCCTTGAGTTTGCGTAGAATGCCATCATGCCAAATCATGTCCGACTTTGAGATATCTAGAGACACAGTCCGTTCTTCGCCATTGTTATCTCAAGCTTGATAGACAAATTCATTGATAGCCGTTATCACATCGGCGATAGACCTGGAGAAACGGAAGCCATATTGTTTGTCCGAAAAGAGGCCGTGCGAACCAATTTGGAATTCATTAGAGCCTCGTGTACTTTTCCAAAAAGAGATAAGAAACAAATAGTGCAATAATTTGATGTGAAAGGGTTTCCCGGAGTTCTTAAAAACAGGAACTACAGAAGAGGTATTCCAACAATGGAAAGCGGGAAGCAGTGATGTATTTGCTAGAAAATTTAGAAAGAACAGGAGGCAGCTCATAGGCACATTTCTTTAGGAAGACTGCAAGGATCCCATCACATCCGCAGTTTTTGTGGGGATCTAATTTAGAAATGATAGCAGAAACCAAATGATAGGATTTTTCGCATATTCCTCGGTAAAGCCTTTTGTTCTTGGAGGAAAATTTGAAGAGATACTCCAGATGAGTCAAGAGTGAAGTTGGAAGAGAACTTCTAAGCTTCTTATCTGCAGTAGAAATAGATTGGAGTGAGGGTGGTAAGAGGGTTTGCTATAGTTCAGCACACGCTTGCAGAACCGCCAGTAAGCTATAGAACCAGATTTCTGAGGGATTATACGGTGTCTTATTCAATCTGCAAACAGTGTCTTTGGTACTTTGAGGACACGCTTGTAAAAATTATGAAAAATATCAAAGACGTGTTTATTTGAATCGAACCTTTCTTTCTAGTATAGCCGGATAAAGTGATTCCTGTGGGCTATAGCGACTGAGCAGGGATTTGAGAACCAAGAAGAGGGTCGTGGTTTTACTTGGTACTTCCCTGCTGTGACAGCATAGTCCTGGGGGTTGTGTCGAAGGCCAGCACGTCAAACCCTGTCGAACCCCTTCAAGATATCTAGAGCCATAACCAGAGATTTGCAGGTTTTATCTAAAGCTTGATGGATAAATACAGTGATAGTCATTGATACAGAGTTAACATATAGACCAGAATAAACGGAAGCCATATTGTTTAACTGAAAAGAGGTTGTGTGAAGTAAGGTGATTAAACTGTTTGGCATTCATTAGACCTTCGTGTACGTTTCCAAAAAGAAAGAAATAGAGCAATAATTTGAGGTGGGAAAGGGTTACCCAGAATTCTTAAAGACAGGAACTACAGAGAAGGAATTTCAACAATTTGGAAAGCAGGAAGCAGAGAGGCATTTGTTGTAAAATTTGGAGAGAACAACAACCAGCTCATGTGCACATTTTTTTAGGAAGACTATGTATCTCGTCACATCCGTATGCTTTGTGGGAATCTAGGTAATTTTCAAGAGCAGTTTCTAAGTTTAAATTGTCGTGTCAGTCGGATTTTCTATTAAAACAAGGGTAAATGGTTGTTTCATCTACATAGGTACCCTAGTTGGGAACTAAAGACATCACAGCGGCTATTTATGATCAGAAACAGCGTAGGTCCAACGACAGAGCTCTGGGTGACCGTCATGTCAGTATAAAAATGATCTGGAAGCATGTCCGTTCAACATGAGCTTTGTTAAGGTTGAATGGATTAAGCCAAAGATTCGTCCTGTGACACCGTAGGACATAGCCATGCGGAGAAGGCCAGCATACCAAAGACAGCCGAACATCTTCAAGATATCTAGAACCACAGCCCGATATTCGCCATTCTAATCTCAAATTCAGTGATGATCATTCACACGTCGGAGGTAGACCTATCGAAACTGAAAACACATTGAAGAAGCCTTGCAAAAATAAGATGCCAAATCAATTTGGCATTCGTTAGAACCTCGTGTACGTTTCCAAAAAGAGATTAGAAACTAACAGATCAATAATTTGAGGAGTCAAAGTGTTCCCCGGAGTTCTTAAAAACAGGAAATACAGAGGAGAAATTCCACCAATCTGGAAAGCGGGAAGCAGAGAGGCATTTGTTGCACAATTTGGATAGAACAATCAGCAGCTCATGGGCACATTTCTTTAGGAAGACTGTCGGTATCTCGTCACATCCGTATGCTAGGTATTTTCCAAGAGCAGTTTCTAGGTTTACATTGTCGGGTCAATCAGATTTTCAACTAAAAATGGAGTAAATTGTTGTTTCATCTACATAGATACCAAGTTGGGAACTGATGACATCGTGGCGGACAATGAAAATGAAAAACAGCTTAGCCCCAACGATAGAGATCTGGGGGACCCTCACGTTAGTATAAAACGATCTGGAAGCATGTCCGTTCATCACGAGCTTTGTTAGGAGTGAATGGATTAAGCCAAGTATTCGTCCTGTGAAACCGTAGCCCTTGAGCATGCGGAGAAGACCAGCATGCCAAAGCCAGTCGAACACCTTCGAGATATCTATAGCCACAGCCCGAGCTCCGCCATTCTTATTAAAGTTTGATAGACAAATTCAGTGATAGCTGTTAAAACATCGGCGGTAGATCTAGCGAAACGGAAGCCATATTGTTAACCCGAACGGAAGCAGTATGACGTAAGATACTTATATCTTAGTCTATTCATAATCTATCATCTAATGCTTTTACGCAGCCTTGAATTATTTTTAACTCTACAGCCTCTTTCCCCATAGACGAAATGTCGCAAACCCATCGTTAATCTATAGCTAGTTCCATGTTGAATGTTCAGACGCCATACATTCCTTAGTCCTGCCAATTCAGGCCTTTAGAGCTAAGAGCCACTATGGAGTTCGAATCATCCTTATTAACTTCGGTTTTCATTGGTAAGAAGGAACTTCTACTTAGACAGCTTCTTACCGAGAACTGCTACATTATAGAAGAGACTCCTGAGTGTATGCTTCCCCAAACACTACAGACTTTATCTCTTCAGGTCAAGGGTCAACCTTTATCTATTCTACATATTCTCATAATCTCCCCTTATTTCTTTCACGCACGTTCATACAAAAAACTCATTATGGAATCTTCTACCTTGAGTGACACTTGCGCCTTGGTATTGAGTGAACATTTAATAAAAACTGTATCTTTCTTTCTTAAACAGTCTCTTTATATCTATCTATCTATCTATCTATCTATCCATGTCAGTCTGTTCATATCTATCTATCTATCTATCTATCTATCTATCTATCTGAGGCACGGTGGAGTAATGGATAGCGGCTCGGATTGAGAAATTTGAATTCCAGTCGAATCCATTACATTCACTTACGTGCTAATACCCTTGAGAAAGGTATAAACCCTCTTCTTCTCCCCATCCTCATCTGTGGGTGAATAGCAGGACAGACCGGGTTCTATAGTCTTGGATGCCAACTGGTCTGCTGCAGAAAGAAATGGCAACCTACCGCGGGAAAAAAATCTGCCTCGTCAGTCATGTATCAAAAGAAACATGATCGCCCAAGTGTGTATCACGCATGGTACATAACTGACTGACTGATCTATCTAGCCTAGTCTGTTCACATCTATCTATCTATCTATCTATCTATCTATCTATCTATCTATCTATCTATCTTAGTCTGTTCGCATCTGTCTATCTATCTTAATCTGTTCACATCTATCTATCTATCTATCTATCTATCTATCTATCTATCTATCTATCTATGTCAATCCGTGCGTATTTATCGCAGTCTACCTATCTATTTTATCCATATCAATCTATTCAAATTGTTTGATGATAAATTACTTTCCATTATTTTTCACAACACATTTTCTGATGTCGATGATAATGACTGATTAAGTGTCTTTGAATATTTACACACTAGTATAATGACAATAATAATGACAGGCCGTAATTTGTCGATAATAAATTTCTATAAATTTACAATAACACGTTTGAAAATTAAAGAAACTCATAAGACTGAACTGACATTTCGCTGCCATTTTTAACACAGGTATCTAATATTTATTTAAGCTGACTGACTTTTAGTGGCAAATTTTATTGAGTACATCGAACCGGGCTCCACATATGGTTCAATGATTTATGTCACAAGCGCTAGGAAGATATTTATACCCCCGGGGTATCATAGATTATATTACGTTCTTAAAGGAAACGCAACGTTTTTTCGTTTGTTTATTAACGTGTAGTCGAGTGCTTTCTATCGTTGGCTTAGCCGCTTTTTTTTTCTGTCTGTTTTGTTTTTTTCACACCATCTTTCTTCGATTTTTTGAAGAACGTTCTATTTGAATATTTCTCTTTCAGACGTGTCATGTCTTTTCTGATGTTTTATTGGACCACTAGTTTTGCGTGGCCTTTTTCAGCTTTAAAATTGAGGCGGTGTATCTTCTGTTACACGGCACCTACACAAATGCAGTAACTTATTTTGTAGTCATCAAGATTCGCAACTGATAAAACCGTACCTGAAATTTTAATAAAATAAAGCTGTATAATCATATATATATATATATATATATATATATATATATATATATATATATATATATATATATATATTTAATATGATTTTATATATATACATATATATATATATAAAGAAATATAGTTTTAAAATGTGCTATATTTATGGGATAAAGTGCTCAATGTCAGACATAGAGCGTATGTAAATATAAATATAAAAGTGAACATTGAAGTCAACACCCAGAGGCGACAAGCATGTTTCACATCTAGACGCAATCCTCAGGCCGCAATCGTCGGGGCCTGACGATTGCATCTAGCATGAAACATGCCTGTCGCCTCCGGGTGTTGACTTCAATGTTCACTTTTATATATATATATATAAATTCTCTTTTAGGCATGTCTGATTGAACAAATTACAGATGTTATGTCTGCTAATTTTGAATAAAATCTTTTATTTTCGTTTCCCAAGTACTTTCGATCTTCTTCCAAGATCATCTTCAGGGGTGCAAGTAGTACAAAACTATATACTCAGCATTCCTGTCCACATTCACAATATAAAAAATTACTAATCAACAACACAATTATCCTACACCATGAAAACAACAAATTCATATTTTACTAGAAGTAATTTATATTAAATAATTAAGGCCGGCACTGAACGTGAATCAACTATGAATAGTGACGTAATGTTCTGAAATGTCTGTAAAGGAAGGGTTTTTTCATGCTTTAATCTGCGCGTGACTATGACATTATAACATAGAGAGAAAAATCTTCCATTATGGATATTTTTTCACGATCTAACGAACGCTCGGCACATTGTCAACCATTTTGCATTTAAAAGCATAATGAAAAAAATATGGTAATGGATAAGGACGCATAATTTCGTATAAATATTTATACTAATGAACAGCATATAGTTTGTACTACTTGCACCCCTGAAGATGATCTTGGAAGAAGATCGAAAGTACTTGGGAAATGAAAATAAAAGAAATTTAAACAGCTACAGCACATTTCTCTCATCCTTTACCATCAATGCACGGAAGGTTATTCGTGAGTATGAACAGAATTTATTAAAAATTAGCAAACATAATGTCTGTAATTTATTCAATCATATATATATATATATATATATATATATATATATATATATATAAGAAATAATCACACATAGAATTAATCAGAAGTATCAATGCGATTATTGGCGACATCCGTCACTACAAAACATAATATATGCATTAAAATCCTGTTCATCCATAGTGCGAGTTTTGATCCTTGAAGAAAAACTTGTTGTCTGTAGTTTTTCAGTTTATTCGATGTTAAAATGCTAGTACTTACGGACGGTCTTCCATCCATCATCAGGCATGTGTTTTTTTTTTTTTCTTATAAAATCAAAAACTTGAGACGATATATCTGTATGTCGACCGAAAGAAGTTTTTTTTGAATATCTGCTATTATTGACGGTTGTAAGATATTGGAACGTGCAAAGACGCAACGCTAAGTTTTTCAAAATTTTTTAAGTGAGAATTTTATTTAAATATTTTTTGTGATGTGTTAAATCCACGTATTCTATTTTTACAAGTGTATTCAGTTTTTATGTCATGAACTAAGTATATAGTTCAATAATATAGTGTAATGTCATAATAGTAATTTTTTTTATAGGAATTTTTTATGTACTGCGGATTGATACTTCTGATTAATTCTATGTGTGATTATTTCTTGTATGTAAATCATATGCTGCCTAATGTTTTATGTTTATTAAAAAACCTTCGATCCGCAGTACATAAAAATTCCTATAAAAAAAATACTATTACCGGCCTGAATGTCCGAGAAATTTTCATAGAAAATATTCGTTCTTTGACAGGATTCGAACCTGAATCCTATACGGAACCGTCATTTACGCTGACGTGCCTAACCTCTGGGCCACAAAGAACCTTTCGGTTGACATTCAGGCCGGTAAATGTTATTTAATACTGTTTATCATAAACAGAGCATTTGCTTAAATACTTGTATCTATAAATAACAACGTTAAACATAAAAATGTCTTTAATAAATATATATATATATATTACTCTTGAAAAAGACCTCCAATAAGTGGTTAACCGTGGCAAGAAATGGCTTGTAAATTTCAACACCTCTAAAACAAAACTGCTTTCATAGGAGGCAGCCTTTTCTGCCTACCATCAAGAGAGCAAGATTCTACGCTTTCTTGACATGAAGTAGACCGCCTGTATCGTGTCACTTGCTACATCTGCTGCGAGTAAGGTTGGTTTACTGTGTCATGCTAAAAATCTTTTCTCATCAGAATCAATCTTGCACATTTATAAATCTACCATTCCTCCGTGTTTGGTTTGGTTTGGTGCTTCTGTTGTGCATCTCAATATTTTTGACAAAATCCGAAGAAGGGTCTGCAATACAGTCGATCCTCTGCCCAGACATCTAGTCTCCAGTGACTTTCTCCCCGAAGTGACGTGGCATCCCTATGTCTGTTATATAAATATTTTCATGGTAACTGCTCTGATGAGCTTTTATTTTCATGGGGGCCACACTATATGAATTTAAACGTGCTACTAGATTGGCATTTAGGTCTCACCGTTTTACTGTCGAACTACCTAGATGCAAACGCGACTTTTACTCTAACAATTTAGTCTCTCACACTTCCCACCCGCCTAACTCCCTTCAGATTTTTTGCTTCCCTGATAACTACAATCTTTAAAATTTTAAATCGCCCTCATCTGACTTCTTGAAATCTTTCACTTGTACTTTCCTCAATCCCCCCATTTTTAATATTCTTATTCCTTTCCTTTCTCCCTGGCTTCTAGTAGCACTGTCATCAAATATATATATATATATATATATATATATATATATATATATATATATATATATATATATATATTATATACGTACAAGCCGAATTAATGCGCTTTTGCTGTGTGTCACAATTTTTTTGTAAGAAAATGATGATTGATTTTAAAGCATTGTTATAATTTGTGGAGAAAAATGATGCATGTCAGTATTACTCAATGATCTTGTCGATGTGACCTCCATCTTCTGGTTTTCTCCTTCTATATTTTGGATTCGCATTATTCCCTTCATCAAATTTAAATTATTAAAAAAGGTTTAAAAAAAATTCAATGGCGAGATTTGTCCCCCCAAGTTACCTCCTTTGATCAAAATGAAATAAACTTATGCATTTACCCTAGGAGTCATTCCCTTGTTCAAATTTAAGTTTATATGAAAAAGGAAAGAATCACTCGGGGAGGTTAACCCCCTCAAAGTCCTTTGATCAAAATGAAATATATTTATCAAAGTTGATGTAGCTGATGTAGCCTGGCTTATATATATATATATATATATATATATATATATATATATATATATATATATAAACACATCGGACACACAACCACAACTGAGATTAATGAGTCCAGCGACATAAAAAATCATCTTTTAGCAATACACAGCACCACCTGTAAACCATTCAAATCATCTGACGTAAGGAAAATCTTAATTGACAACACCAAAATTCTCTATAAAAACAAACGCAAAAAACGACTACAAATTCTGGAAGCCATCCTCATCAAAAACCAAAAACCCAGCATAAATAAAATTAGCATTTAATACTAGAAAAAACATCTTAAACATATTTAATAATTAATCCTCCAAATAATAAACATCAACCCCATCCTTATTAATAAAGAAGTAACCCAACAATATCGTCTAATATTGTCTATCTATGAAACTAAAACAATAACCACCGACGAGGTTCCTATTTCAACAACTTACACACAAATACTAAAAAATTTGCGAAAAAGCAAGAAAAATAATCATCAAACAGAAAGGCTCCATAGTTATCAACAACACATGCCTGAATATATATGCATATATATTTTATGAGACATTTTTTTTATGTTTATGCGTTCTTTTTAAGGATACAAATATTTAAGTAAATGCTCTGTTTATAATAAACAGTATTAACAACATTTACCGGCCTGAATGTCCGAGAAATTTTCATAGAAAATATACGGAACCGTCAATGAGCCTGACGTGCCTTTACCGATTGGGCCACAGAGGAGCATTCGATTAGCAAGGTCTATTTTACTGTATTTAAGCACAATTCTCCATGATTTTGTCGCATACATTCATATCTACTCGATGCGTATCCAAATGTAAACAAATGACTTCATACATTATGAAATGGACAAAGTCCGACAATTATTTTTTAAGACATTTTAAATATTTGTACCTATAAAAAGAACGAATAAAGATAAAAGAAAATGTCTCAAAAAATAATTGTCAGACTTTGTCCATTTCATAATACATATATATACATATATATATGATAAAAAGGTTTGATATAATATTAGGTAAAAGTGCTCAATGTCAGAGATGTAAATGTTTTAGTGGACACTGATATCAATACAATGATGCGATCGTCCTTTTCATGCTTGAACGCAGTCTTCCGTCGATAAAAATGGCTTTCATGAAACGCCATTTTAAACAGTCATTTTAACATCATCGTAATTTAAAAAAAAAAAAAATACAGAAATTTTTGAGGGGTAAGAGAACTTCGATGCCAATTTAGTTTTCTCCCTTCGTTTTGTTTGTTTAAATATATATGGTGGCATATTAACCTCTATTGTTTATTTAATGCCGAAATCTAAATACACAGTTTTATATCTTCAACTACAGCTAAAATGTATTTTAGGTCATTTTGCTATAAATATATATTGCTGGTCTTTTTTTATATAAAAATATATTGCTGGTATTTTAATATAAAAAATATATTTTTATACTTTCATAATGTTTTTTTTTTGCGGGGAGGGTGGCTCACTATTTACCCATTGCTGGGACCCTAACAAGTGCTACCACCCCGGGTCAGAGTGAACCCTGGAACAAGAACAATTAAAAGCTGGTTCCACGCTCCTCAAAACCTCGAATCTCCCAATCACAGGCCTTGTTGTCAGTTTATCGTCATACCCAGGACTTTTAACCCTTCGTAGGGTGGGTATTTGACTAGTTGAGATAATTGATGTTGCTGGGTTAATATCAAGAAGCCTAACTGCATGAAGAACATACAGCTTGAAGCAGAACGTATATTTAGCATAATGTAGAACTAATGGATGCAGCCAAAAAATCAAATGATGCTCTGTAGATATGATTCTTACTCTAAGAAACGAGATTGTTCTATGCAGCATTAGTTTAGCAGTTCCCAACCTAGGGTCCTCCCTGGTTTTTTTCATGTATTGCGACGGTATAGCTTGTGTTCTTGATTGCGGAACGAAATCAAAGTTTTTTTCTGAATGCGATCTGCTTAAGGCAATGGAATGATAGGAATTTGCCCAATCGCTAAGTTGATGTTTTCACTTGTATAAATGAGTTTTTCTCTTAAAGGAATAAAAAAAAGAATAACCAGGCTTTGTAAAAGATTTTGGAAAAGACTTTTGAAAAGAAAATTTGGAAATGCTTTAATCGTCTGAGAGAACCCTTCTTACAATCCATCAACATGGCTGATATAAACCTCCAGGGGAGTGAATCATTGCGACTACGCGAACCAACGTTTTCAGTTGACATGAAGAACCAACGTTTTCAGTTGACATGAAGGGAAAAGATTATATTGAATCCATTGCTAGGTATTCTGCTAGGAAAATTGGTTCCCTGTGTCGTGCCAGACAATTTTTCTCTTCATATTTATAAATGTACCATTCTTCTTTACTTTCAATATTGCTGCCATATTTGGTCAGGTGCTTCTGCTACATATTTAGAAATTCTTAATACAATCCAAAGAGGAATCTGAATGTTATTTCGCCTTCAGTCACCGCCGTAACGTAGCTTCCCTGTGTCTTTTCTATAAATACGTCCATCATAATTGTTGTGATGAGCTTTCCTCTATAGTACATACATAGTATAGTATAGGTGGTCAGTGATGTCAGTTCGCTGGTGGATGCAGGGCGCCTTTCTCGTGAGTGTTTTTTCGTATTTGTTGTTGTGTCTGAACGAGTGCATGTCAGTGTGATTGCTTGGCATGAATGAATGTTTTATACGATAATAGTCCCGCATTGTTTTCGGCCAGTTAACTTATATTTCTGCCACATTTAGTGATTGTGGTGTTTTTATTACTAATAAAGTTTAGTTTCTTGTAAATAGTCTTGTTTTCATATTGTAAATACTCATTGGAGGTAGTTTTTGAAATAGTTGTTTTTATTCCCCTCCGCCCACAGACAATGAATTGTAAATATGGGGACTAGTTAGTATTTTTATAGAGACAATGAGGTATTATGGTCGATGTAATAAGAAAGGTACGTATGAATCTGTTGTTTTGGTGTAAGGAATATTCTTGGTACGATTGGGTCAGTGTTTGTGGCTAGCTAAGTTATCGTTAAGACAGAACAAGACCGTCCTTTCCCTAATCCCCCCTTTCGGACATGTGCCACATTTCTGTATTAAACAGAATAATTATCACTTTCTTCTATGGTACCTTGACTTTATGAATTTGATCCCAATATTAAATTGGTGCCAAGGTCTCATCTTTTTACAATAGAAATGGCTAGATGGTTCCAAGACTTAGTGGAAAAGAAACTCCGTGTCGTCATCCGATTTGCAAAATTATACTTGTGTAAATCCATATTCAGTTCTCTTTCGGCAAAAAAGAGTCACAGTCACATCAGAGAAGTTAATCAACATCGATCTTAGTCAGTATCTAGAGAGCTGACCGCTTGGGAATACCAGGTGTTATAAGCTATTGGGTGTACAAGTGATGTAATGGATAATTGCTTGGAACTGTACTAATAGAGTACTAATACTGGGAAGAAACTGTCCGTACATAGTACCTGATATAATGGAATATGCATACACCTGTGGTCCCCCTCACTGGAGTATGATTGGCTGGTGTCCATCATAAATATCGACGGACCTGTAGATGAGTCAGAAGAAGAGAAGAGAGCCTTAGTCTGAGAGGTAAGTCTATAACGACGCCCATTGGACTACGCCATTGATCTACACTTCTTACCTGCGACTACGACGCGTACCAGTCGATTACTTCTACCGTATTCTACTTGGTTATAGTAGCCAAAACCACTTCGTCCAAATATATCCCTTCCTGGGACATATCAGTACCTTATGCATTTTCGGGTAGTTTATTAACCATTTTCAATGGATTTGTTCTTAGTATAAGTTTGTGTTTGTATTCTAATCTGTGTTGTACAGATATAGTAGTAATCCCATGTTGACGTGCCTTCGAAAAACTCCAAATATGCCGTTACTATTTTCAAAGATGTAATTTGGTATGTAAGTCTATACTGTTTGAAAAGAAAGTGCTTTAAGCAAGATGTTTACGACCAAAGCTAATTCTCGTCTGATCTCTGAAGTTAAGCAATCCTTGAGCCTGGTCAGTATCTAGATGGGTGACCGCTTGGGAATGCCAGGTGATGTAAACTTGGATGTGCAAGTGGTGTGATGGATAATATAGTTCCAATTCCAGTTGTGTTCGTTATATTCACTTAAGCGCAAATGCCTTTTGGAAAGATATGAGTCGACATCTTCTCCTCCCTATCTATGGGTTAATAAGTAAATCTTGTATAACTAAAATCATTATCATCTCATGGATTAATAAATAAAACTTGTATAACTAAAATCATTATTATCTCAACACATATTTTCTGGCTTTAAATAACCTACAAAAGATTGATAGCCCGTAAAAAAAAATCAATCAAACAAATTGATTTAATAAATCTCTTGAATACACAGGCGAATCTTAGCCAAAAAGAAAGTGCCATGAACGACTAGCAGATGTGAAGAAGTCAGTGAATTTGTTAACATTTAAAATTATCTTACAATTCTCCCTCAATGAAAAATCCTTTTGTTCAAGTTATAGATGCATTTGTGCTGAGTTAATAGCTTAGTTGTTAATTTTAAGTATACATTCTAAAATGAGAGCTTGTTATTAATATATTATTTTATTTTGTTTATTGCTGTTATCACGTGCTTCTGAAGTCCCAGCTACGCCGGGCTGGGTACGTTTCCAGCATGGAGAATCATCGCCTGCCTAACATTTTATTGTACGGCGAGCTCTTCACTGGCTATCGTGGCACCAAAGAAGCGATTCAAAGCCTGAAAAATCCTTTGGTACCTGTCATATCAAACATTGCCAATGGTCAACCCTAGCTGAGAATCGGGACGTCTGGCGTCTCAGCACCAACGATGATGTCTCCTCCTTTGATAATACCTGCAGGGCCTCTCTCAGGGACAAGGGGAGAAGAGGAAGTACTGCATCGCCATGCCATCGAACCCAAGCCATTTGCAACTGCCACTGTGTATGCCGGTACCTGCAAGCGACGTGTACAGACTCCTCTCTTGATCTTCGTTTTGCGAAGCCAAGCCAAGCCATGATTATATTTCGATTGTTATGAACTTCGGCTTTCATCAGTTGCTTGTCTATCCAGGTAACCTTCACTGAATTTTGAACGGAACACTTTATTAAATTTATGGATGTAGATTCTCGTTCCAGATATCACGTCTAGTTATTCATTTCAAACTGCTTCGTTATTGCTTGCCCCGTTTCCACTAGTTTCCTTTTTTACGCATGCCCAAAGCTGAAATGTGTCGCTGCTGCTCAGGATTTTAAGCTCATGTGCATCTGGCTAAATAGAGTGTCGCGGCTGCTACATGGATCAGATAACCCGCCAAGATGTATCATAGAAGTGATTAAACAAAAAAAAAAAAAAAGAAAAAAAAGAAGGATGAAAAAACGATAACAGATGGAGCAGAAGGTTGCTTGATTGTCGATCAATGGATAAGAAACACAGGAACAAAAGAAAAGACGCGAGATATAAAGAAGAGATAGAGATGTTTGTTAGTAAGACATAATAGGGAATAGCAATCATAGTTGTCAGGATAGGATTTGGGAAAGGCTTTTGTCTATTTTTTTAATCACCCCCTCCACAAGTAAGGCGATAATGCCACAAAGACGTAGAGGGTTACTGTAAGCGAAAGAGAATGAGAAGTCTTTATAAGGAGCCGGGAACCCAATTCTAAAAAAAGGAAATAATATTAAACATCTACTCCTCTCAAAATACAGTAGAAGAGTGTGAACCGGACGATAGGCGAACCTATCTACTCCTATTGTAAGTGGATACGTAATTGGTGGTAATGATTATTATGTACATGTTTATTATTTAGGTATTAGTTCTTTCTATCTCGTTGCGTACACCAGGAAATAACTTTCCGCCATGGACCGCGGTCTGCGGCTTGGTTCCTCTTTGCCGTTCCAGCCGGTCATCTACAATCAACATTTTAGACCCTGGAAGCTCACAGTGACTTTCTGGACCGTACTAGTCTGTCCAACGGGTAAATAGTAGATCTGTTTATCCAGCTGTTGTGTCAAGTATCCACCAGGTGTTGTCGTAGGGTCATTGCGTAAGTGAGCACCTTCCTCCACGTATCTGGGTTGAAAGCTGAAGAGGTATTCATTCATGCATAGTGTATCTTGAGCAAGTATGCATGGCGGAGTTCATCAGTCTTTCTGTCAAACTACAGTTGATGTCCTTCAAAATTAAGGTCCGCCATGATCACGGAGTAAACCTTCAGTTCAGGTGGTTCACTTTAGTCTAAGAAGGCCTCTGCACAACCATGCCGTGTCGTCATCGCATTGGTTGCGTACATAGTTATGGACCACGTACCATTGTGTTAGATGGCCGTTGACCTCAAAAAAAAGTTTCCTCCGTCCTTTGACAGGTCTTGTTTTGAATCCTGTTGTGTGTCTAGCCAGCCTCCTCATTAAAAATGATGGTAATGGTATCGATGCCATGAGTTCAAAAACCATTTTAATTAGACTTCAAAAACTTACTTAATTTGTGGCAGCTAGAAAAATGCAGCCACAAGTGTGATCATTATTTATCTATCTATCTATCTATCTATCTATCTATCTATCTATCTATCTATCTATCTATCCTAGTGCGTTCATCTCTCTCTCTATATATATATATACTAGTGTGTTCATCATATCTATCTATCTATCTATCTATCTATCTATCTATCTGTTTCTCTGTCTCAGTTCATTCAAATTTATATACACGCATTTAATTCGTTTAATTGGTCTTCATTTTAATGAGCTTCGTAAGTATATTTTTTTATAACTTGAAAGATTTTGTTTTTTGTGGCAACTTTATGTCAAGCGAATTGATGGGCGCCATTTTGCCAACAGCCATTGTTCACAACGTATTTGTGTCAATTTTTTGAAGCAGTCAAGATTTTTTTTCTTTTCTCTTTTAAATTATGTGCTTCACTTTTCGACTTTAAGTAAAGTTTAAATATAACATTTATAAGCACCGGAAAAAAACAAATGTGCAACGCGCATTAATGATATATTCGTTTTATTGCAGTGTCCTGCAATTGAACTTGCAATATTTCCCAGGTACGCCTACCTTTTTAAAAATATCATCAATAATTCCCCACTTCTGTTAGTTCGTTTTATAAAAGAAAAAAAAATCCTTACGACTCTCACAGCGACGATACGCTGTAAAAATGAAGTCTGTTTACAAATGAGCTTAATTCATTCTTGTCAGTATTTTTCCTTTGATATAATAGGATGTTAATAATTTTGTCGCATATACATATATATATATATATATATATATATATATATATATATATATATATATATATATATATAAGTGAACATTGAAGTCAAAATTCAGAGGCGACAGGCTGTTTCATGCTAAACGCAATCGTCAGGCGGTTAGAAGATTGCGTCTAATATGAAACAGCCTGTCGCCTCTGAGTGTTGACTTCAATGTTCACTTTTATATTTATATTTACATATGCTCTATCTCTGATATTGGGCACTTTATCCCATAATTATAGCACATTTTAAAACTATATTTCTCCATATATATATATATATATATATATATATATACACAAATACAAATCATACAGAAGAATTATGTTAAATAATTACATGTATAAATCAATACTCTTGCAATCAGAGAAAAATTATTTGTATATACTCTATCCTGTTAAATGAAATAAATCCATTCCTACAAAAGCTGAATATTATTCTGCAATGCATCTCTGATATTGAGCACTTTATCCCATAAATATAGCACACTTTAAAACTATATTTCTGCAGATATACACCCCACCACTCACTCTCACACACACACACACACACACACACACACACACACACACACACACACACATATATATATATATATATATATATATATATATATATGCATGTGTAGATGGATAGATAGATAGATAATATCAAATGCCTCAGTGTAAAGGATAACCCAAGTAGGTCTTTTAATATAAAATATTAAAAAGATGAACCCCAAAAGTGAGCTCAGTGTATAGTACGCAGAGTAATATGATATACAACAAGGAAAAACGCATAATCGAAAACACGTTTATAAATCATAATTTATTTCAACGGGTAAAAGATTTTAATGCCCGTCTCATCAGACCGAAATTACAAACCCATATATATATATATATATATATATATATATATATATATATATATATATATATATATATATATATTCTTGTTCACCCAATACAAGGTTCAAGTGCTATTAAAGGCACCGACTTAATAGATGAGTCTGTGGTAACGGCGTATCACGAGGAAGTAAAAGGTACATATTATGAGCATATATATATATATATATATATATATATATATATATATATATATATATATATATATATATAATGGCTAAATCGATAAGTTCGTTTTTATGTATTAAACAGAGATGAGGCCTAGAATAAATACAACAAAAAAACACTTCAAAGTTAACATCGACTAAAGACTTTCATTTCTTCCCTATCCGCTTTATATATGAATCTATTCCCATCAATAAAACCATTATTTGTCTGAAGATATTTTTTCTAGTAAGGAACTGCTTACAACACATACAACAGAGGTTTGAAAGTGTACACGCATATATATATATATATATATATATATATATATATATATATATATATGTGTGTGTGTGTGTGTGTGTGTGTGTGTGTGTGTGTGTGTGTGTGAATGTTAAAGAAAGTTGGCAGCATACTTTGCCTCCCAATGATAACCTTTCCTACCAATGTGAATTTGTGTGGATGCAATAAAGTTGGCCTTGCTGTCCATTAGCGAAAACATGTGGCATTTGATGCTGGACCACATGTTCCATGTGTCTAAAAGTTTGCTAATCACCTGCAGATCTTAGGAGACACATGTGTGTCCACAGTATTTGAGAAGTCCCTAAGAACCAAATAACACACACACACACACAGACACACACACACACACACATACACACATACACACACTTAACAGAGACACATCTCCTTTTCAGGAACCAATAATCTGTTAAAAATGACCAAAGGAATTCAGAGCAGCATGAATCCATCCAGCTCTTATCTTAAATAACAACTTAAAAGAGAC